TTTTTGAAATTCCCTTTGATTGCGTTGGGCCACGGCGACGGCCACGGCGACGGCAGACTCGGTCTCCTCGCCGATAATGCCGTCGCTGCTGCTGCAGCGCACACACCGGTCCGGCCGGGGCCCGCTCAAGCGAAAATCAAAGAGATTAGACAAGAAATTCGTTGGGCACAGCTGGAGGCGCGCGGGGAGAGGCCCGGGCCACGTACCCTGTGTTCAACGGAGGGGGGCTGCTGCTGCTGCTGCTGCTGCGCGGCAGACGCTGCTGAGCAAAGAGAAAAGACACGGGGGAGAGGATAGGAGCAGCGAGAGAGGGTTCGAAACGCATCTCCTTTCTAGCGCTATTGTTCAACCCCCACTCGCCCCGACGCAAAAGGACGACGGGCGGAGACGGAGACGGGTGCGCCCCTGCGCCACCCGGCGTCTCGTAAGACCTCAAGCAACACGTGTCGCAGAACACTGTACGTGCGTTGGGCCCCAGGCTCGCAAGAAGGGGGGGGGGGGGGTCGCGGATCTAAGTTTTTCATCTCAGACAACCGCGGGTGCCGCCCCGGCCGGCGCGCGACCACACGGACCTCCCCGACATAACCGTGACAGCTCGCGAATCTCAAGCAGCCAGCAAAGCCGCGAGCAAACTTAATGCAAATCGCCACGATGGCATCCAAAGGTTGTGCCCGTGTAAGCTCGTGTCCTCGACGCGACCCGGCCGCCGCGGAGACCGCCTCCCGCCCCCCACGAGGCGGGTGAGGGGCGTGACGGAGGAGGCGCCCGCGGCGGCGGGGGTATGGCATTGTTGACGGGGTGCGAGCGACTAAGGTGTCGCACACACACACACACACACACACACACACACACACACACACACACACGCCGGTACGCACACATACACAGGCGCAGATAGACATACAGTGTCCAGTCTAACGTGCTGGTCTGGCTCATCGTTATCGTTGGGGTTGGTCAGGGACCTCGCCGGCGTTCTGTCGTTACCTTTTGAGGGGGCGGTAGAGGTTCCACTTCGCCCATGGGGGTGGGTGGTGTCGACGGCGTGCTCGAGTAGCAGCTCTTGATGTCGTCGTGGTCCATGGCGCCCTGGGGGTGGCCGTTGTGGTGGCCGTACTCCTGCTTGAACGGCTTGAACTCGGTCTGGTGCGGGCCGCTCTGGGGCCCGCCCGGGGGGCAGTCGGCCACCGACCCGCCCAGCGGCGAGTGCTGGAAGTCCAGGGCGCCCCGGCCGCCCCCGCCCCGGCTGTACTCGATGGCTTCCATCGCAGCGGGGAAGGCGAGCCTGAGGGTCCCCAGTTCGACGAGCGCGGATGACAGTTTGGAGGAGCACAAGACGCCGCGGTGGGCGTCGCGGCGGGCCGGCCGAAGACGACGAGGGTGGTGCCGGCGGCGACGTCGGGCAAGGCGACGCCGGTGCAGGGGGACCGCGCGCAGAGCGATCAGCTGATGGTCATTGTTGCTCGCGCCCTGGCACACTGTCCACACTGGCACGCACGCACTCACACACACGGTCACTCGCGCACCGCCCAGCGCAGAGCGCACCTAGCGCACGACTACGAACGAGCGAGATCGGAGCCGCAGCGGCCAAAAAACTCCGGCGCGCATGGAGAAAGAAATGATGCTAACACTTCTGCGTCCACTGGCACACTGCCTAACGCGGCCAGTAAAAAAAAGCTTGGAGCCAAGTGTTTGAGGGGAAGTGCGCGGAGCGCGGAGACGGGGAGGGGGGAGGGAACCTCGGTGGTGGGGGGAGGCTCCGCG